CGTTTATGGGAGGAGCGTGGGAAAGAATGGTGAGGGCTGTCAAGGAAGCGCTGTACGTCACACTGAAGGAAGTCCACCCGTCTGACGAGACCCTGGCCACGCTACTCGCAGAAGTGGAAAACACGGTGAACTCCAGGCCACTCACGCACGTCAACATGTCACCGGATGAGCCAGAAGCCCTCACGCCTAATCATATTTTGATCGGCCCTAACCCACATGTACCCTCACCGGGTAATTTCACTGCAGCGGACATTACAGCACGGCACCAATGGCGGCGCGCCCAGGCACTTGCAGACGTCTTTTGGCGAAGATGGGTACGTGAGTACCTGCCGCTCCTTCAAAACCGGCGGGAGCCCTACGGTAGCGGTACCCCACCCAAAGTTGGAGACGTCGTCGTGATCTGCGACTCTAACCTTCCACGCAACACCTGGCCTAAGGGAAGGGTGACGCAGGTGTTGCCAGGCGCGGATGGAGAAATACGAGTTGTAGACGTCATGACCAGAGGACTCGTACTACGAAGACCAACGAAGCGCATCGTCGTGCTCCCCACGGAGTCGCCTGAAGGCGACGGCGGGAGAAGTGTGCACGACAGAATCATTACGTAGCCAGAGCGGCGCGCCACCGCGCCACGGAATCATAACACAGACGTAGCGGCGCCGCACGCCGTTACTTACCTGTCTTTGTTTGGTTTAAACCTGTTTAAAACGACTATAAACCCGTTAGTAGTAGGGCAACGGAGCCGCGGAGCCACGAGCCCAGACAAGTACAAACACGTTCTCGCGGCTCGGTCTCTCCACGCATCGCCATTGGCCAAACCACGCCCCCCGCATGTCAGCGTCTATAAAACGCCAGACCATGGCGATGCGCATCGTCAGTCAGTCAAACAGTTTTGGGTTTAAAAGTGTCACCACCTTGTTACGTATAAAAAACTCTAAAATTTCTTATGTTTTGTGTAAAAGTTTGTAAATTAATTAAAAATCCATAATCAAGCTATCGAGTCTCAATTTATAATATTTATACAGTCCATTCGCCACAATAGTAATTATTTAAAAACGGCACGACGGCCTTTTTAGTTCATGATGGGGTAGGCAGGCGTGTGGCGTAAGCATATACAATGCTAATCTAACTCCGTGTTTGAAATATTCTAAAAACTAGACTAGTTTTTAGGTAAGTTGGTAGGTAAAATCTTAACAAATATTAAAATAATAATGAGTTTTTTCGTCATAAGTCATGAAAAAAATATACAATTAAAAAAATGACAATTAAAAGGATTAAGAACAGAAAAAAAACACAGCAAGATAACAAGTGTAACACACTAATAATAATAGTAAAACATACTGTGCAGGATAGACAGACAATCCCAATATTTTATGTATTAGGTAAACAACCAATTAAAATTTTTAAGGGCAGTAAATTTTATTTGCCTCAAAAATTGGGTGAATTACATTTACATTACATTAAACACTTTAATAAAAGCCAAATACATAAGACAAACAAGTATGATGTAAATGCAGAGAATCAATAAATAAATACTTGCAAGCCTTGAACTGACCAAATATGGTACTGACTACAATATAAAACCACAAATGGTATACTTTTACACTATAAATAAATTACTTATAAACAAGTTTACTTCTTTTGGATATAAAAGTGAGATTTTAAAGTTTTTATATGGGTCAATATGCAATCACCAACACCAGTGGAAACCCACAGCACTAATTTTTTTTTTCGTGGGGTTATTCATCAAAAGACTTCTATCGCCGAGAGAAAATGGCAGACCCTTACTGACTAAAACCACACCATTCCTTCTCCTGCTCCAGGTTGTGATACCTTAAAGCCCCGCAACCCCGGCTGAAAATCGACCCTGTTAGGCCCACATGTGGTGGTCTAATGGCTCATTGAAGCTTGGGACTTGAAGATTGGGGTATCAGTAAGGTTTGGGCTACTAGTAACATGCTTATCTCCTGTGGGGCTATATGACTCAGATTGAGCTGATCGGTTCGTGTAGGAGTATAGCTCTCCCACACATGAGTTTTAGTTCTTAAATCACACTCAAGCACTGAAATCTTTCTCATTACTTGAGTGTGACATACAACCGCAAAGCAATGAAAAAATTTCAGTGTGGAAGAAAGAACCTGTAGTAAAGCGAAATATTTTTATCGGGTACACAAAATTTATAATTCAGTGTCATATTTCCTTTAACGATACTCACATTGTTAATTTATTAAATACAAATGCATTTGATTATCAAAGACAGGTAAAGGCATAGTGATATTTAAATATTGTTATACCTAAAAATTAAAGCTTACATATTTCAGGTATAACAATGAACCTTATTACATGTTAACAATCAAACTAGATCATAACTTGTAATGTAATATTAGTTTTTGTGCAATAACTATTATGTTGTGCAATGTATATGTTTTTATATGTACAGAAGAATGTTTTACTACATGTGCTATAGATTAGTGAATGTATTAATTCAAAAATAACCATGGAGGTTTTTGCTCATTCTGCTGCATAGAAATGTACAATTAGGAATGAACAACAAGTTTCACTAGAGGACTGATCAATACTCTTTAACTTTTAATCTTTGACATTCAAAAGTGGCTATGAAGGTCTAATTGAACTAAATTATTTAAATAACTATTCTAAAAGACAAATAGTACATTCAAAAAAAGTAGGTATTCTAAATAAATACTTTCGTTTTTTTTTCTTTTCCTGATATTAGTAAAGCCATGTGGATATACAGGCAGTAGGCTAGTGTTTACAGTAAGTAATAATAATTCAACATGCTACATTACATTTAAGAATGTGAAGGTGAGACTGCAAAAAACTTTTATTTATTTTGACATCAATTAAGTGTATTATGTGGGCACACATCAAATATTTACTAAAAATATCCAGGTTAATAAAAACTTGTAAAAAATGATGATAACAAAACAAAGTGAAGACTAACACAATTTCTCTTTAATTATAAACCTGAAAATAATTGAAACAAGCATCTGAAAGTGCAGCATTAAGAACTGCTTTCATTGAACTAAAGTAGCACATGAGATAGTGTACAGATGTCATATGACTCACTTCTTTAGAACATTTTAATTAATTTTAATTGCCTGTAAACTAGCTTATTTTCTCTTGCCTTGTCTGCGGAGGATATTACTGCATTCATTGGCTGAGTAATAATTTATATTTGTTTTCGAGTTTAAATCTAATGGATATTTAATTGTTTATAAATGTTGTGGAGTTTATTTCTTTCTTTGAACCATATGCATGATAAAACTACCTATACCTTGAAATATATGACACACAATATCTGATTGTTGTCTATTGTTGAGGTAAAGTTCCATCAAGCTACAAAATTACCAGCTGGTTACAAAGCCTCTAAAAGAGACTTCTGTATCCTCTTTGTGGCAGTTATTTTGTTAGGAATAGTATATATATTTGTTTAGACTTCTAGTCTAGTAATAGTATATATATTTGTTTAGACTTCTAGTCTAAACAAATATGGTTGAAACCATACATATAAGTAATGTTATACATTGTTAACCACAATAAAATGCCCTGCATTTTGTTTAAAGAGATTAGACATGACACACAGTATTAAAAATGGATACAGTTCTTTATTTATTTCTATTGATATTGTTTTTCATATGTAGAAATATTTTAGGAAAACAATAGAGTTTTATCTCATATAAAACTCTTGAATTTAGTAAAGCTGGCAACTTTCTTATATAGATTTTTAAGAAACAATGAAACAATGTATTTATTTTTGCAAATAGGCCATAAAACGGCACTTTTACACATCAAATTATATGTGAAAAACTAGATGAAGCCGGATAAGAAAAAATGGAATTATAGAATGTGTGTATTACACACATTCTTTAATTCCATTTTTTAGTAAAATATAGACACCATAACATTAAAAAAAATTAATTGAATTCTCAATTGAGGACCTTACTTTGAGTGAATCAACACAGTGTAATCCTCAACCTCAAAATGCTGACAATAGCTACAGGTGTTCCATAGTATTCTTTCAAGAATTTCAACATCAAGCATTTATTGATGTTTGCATTAAACATATCAGCTACAGGTTGTTGTTCTGTCAACCCAGATAACAAGTTGCAAAATATTTACTAAAGGAAAAATAACTAGACAAAGAATAACATTGAAACTGCCTCATATAAAATCACATGTGAATTTTGTAATAATCAAATGAATATGAGGTTAATGTAATACAGTTCTAACTTGTTTGCGCAACTATTAGATGATGTTACCAAATATTTTAAATTGTTTAAACATACTTCTAACACTTTGTTTACTGAAGCGATCTACAGTAATCTGTATACCACTACAAAATACAGGTACTGCAAGATAAAATCATGGGCAAAGTCCCGCATTTGTGTTTGTTTTAAGTTTATGTGAGGATTTCTTGCGCAAGACACATACTAAACTCATTACATGTAAAATATACTCTAATTAATTTAATGTTCATTTCAATTATGTTGATTACATCATTAAAACTTTTACAAGGTATAATGTGACTTTAATAATAATTTTATGAGATACATAGGTACATATGTGGTCACATATATGTGACTAGTTTTACACTGACCTGTGTTTGTCGTTAGAGATCATATTTGTATATAGCTGTGACATCATACCTTTTAGTATAAGGTGATTGAATTAATTCTATCTTTATCCTTCGGTGCAAAGAGTGGTTAGCCTTAATCTTATGTGATATAGGAAGTAGAATCAACTGAAGAACAAAATGCGAGCATGTACACAAATAAAGATCTTACATAAGACAATTACAACAACTCCACATAAGCTATTATGAGACAAATTGAGTTGTTTAGTCATGTGTATCAATCTGTAATGCTAGTTGGAGGTAAGAGCTGTATGGTCAGCTCTGCAGTGTACCCACAGAGTATACACAAACAACAGACATGTGTGTAGTATGGAGTAGTGCAGTAGTTTATTATGTAAACAAGGCTCACCTCTCGCGCCTGCGCCATGTCCACTGCCCAGGCCTGCAGGTCGCACTTGTTACCCACCAGCACCATGGGCACTTCCTCCGCGTCCTTCACCCGCTTGATTTGCTCCCGGTAGGAGCCAATGTCCTCGAAACTTTTAGCACTGTTCACTGCGAACACCAGCAGGAAGCCTTCCCCCGTCCGCATGTACTGGTCCCTCATGGCAGAGTACTCTTCCTGCCCCGCCGTGTCGAGGATGTCTAACAAACACGTCTCACCATCGATAACAACTTGCTTCCGATACGAATCCTCGATCGTAGGATCGTATTCGTCCACAAAATGATTTTGTATCAGCTGTATAGTCAATGCGGATTTACCGACGCCTCCCGCGCCTACCACCACCAATTTGTACTCGGTCATCTTGCGACGAGTTAGGAAGAATATTTTTCACGCCACTAATGTCACTAGACGAGAAACTACGCCCCTTGTCGTGCCACACCTTTTAAATTACTCACATCGGCATGGCTCTCGCGACCTATGTTATTGCACTCGCTGTGTCCGTAAAACGGCTAATTAATGTATTATTAGAGGCAAATGCAATAAATAACAATGAGGCGGTTCACTCACCCTTTTACCGGAGTGGGAGTGCGTTTTGAAATGTTGTATGTTGATGAGTCATCTGTGGATTCAATTATTTGTGTGGATTACAATATTTTATTATAAAACTATCTAAAAGAGATACTTTTGTATTTTTTAAGTTTAACTCATTACTTGTAAACATGATGCGATAATTGTTTCTTATTTAATACTTTTTAGGAACTGAGAAAGGATTCAGAACGTGCTCTGCTTTGTTTTGTCAGCTGGTGTTAGTTTTACGAGTAACCTACAGATGGCGGTGTTGAAACAATTTTGTTATAAATATTTTTCAGTGTTACTATTACTGAATTTATTACATATCTTGATATCTTGCTTTTATTTTATGCATTAATACATGAAAATGTTAAAAGAATATCAATTATTTTTTGTATCATGTACTGGTCAAGCTTGATTTTTGAGTAAAAACTTGTTTTCCTTGCTTGAAATTTGTCATTATGACAATTTTGCTTGTGTGAATATTAATTTCATCTTTATCAAGGATTTATAAATATTGTATCATATTTTCTAATAGGCATTTTTTTATAAACATGTCTAATGAAAACGAACACGCAGGAGAGACTTTAGAAGAAGCGGGAGCTCTAGAAGCAGATGTTGGGGCTAATTTGTAAAATTATTTATTTACAGTAGTTAAAAGTAGTTCCATAACGATATCTAGTGTCCTTTTAATTTATCAATAACGTAGTGGTATTCATGGTAGCTAAATATATTTTGGGAATTTCCTTCTATAGCGCAGAAGCTTCATAATATAATGTATAATTCATAACACTTCATATAGGTACCTAGTATAATTATAATCACTTGTTGCTTCGGTGTAACCAGGTGTAACAAACTTCGGAGATTTCTACTGTGATAACCTTTTTTTAAATCTCACAAAATATTGTATTATAATTGGTTAATAGTATTAGATATGTTTTACATGATGACACTGGTAAAAATTTGTATGCTGCAATGCGCCATCTACCGACTAAAGATGTGACAAACCAAAATCTTAGTTTCAATTATTATTGTATAGATGGCAGTAAAATTCAGCTTTTGAACAATGTTTAGATAGGTAGTGTCCTCTTCTTAGGTCCAGTGTTTATGACTATCGTGGACGAAGTTTGACGTTCAGTTCCTGAGTCAAGCATGATATTTATTGTTAGTAAAATGTTAGAATTTCATGCCGTTCGTTGTGGGTGCAACAATGCAAATAGGTATGCAATAAGACTGTAGTATAGGTACATACTAATTTGTTTATTTTATAATTTTCTAGTGACCAACAGCTTGCGAACATCGATCCTAGGCTGAAAATAAACATGGATCCATTCGCACATCGTCACCTTCGTCCGGAAATGATGTTCATTCGCGAAGAGTTGCGCCAAGCGAAGTGGCAAACATTAGCGGTTAGTTTACATCAACTTTCTTATCTATTTAAGTACCTACTAGTGCACACTATGTGGACGGACAACCGACAGACCCGAAAAACACACTAGTGACGACCATGGACCGGAAAACGAAGAGTGGGCAAGCCTTCCGCTAGGTGGCGACAACATCGTCAGAGTCGCGGAGAGCCAATGGACTCAGGAGGCGACTTGTCGTTCGACGTGGATAGGACTAAGGAGGAGGCCTACGTCCAGCAGTGGACGTCTTCCGGCTGCTGCTGATGATAATGAGTTCATAAAGAACACGATAGTTGTATAGTCAAGTTCGTGCAGTCATAGGTAATTAATAAAATGAAATGAAACATAGAAATTTCTCTATGAAATGAAATAAGGATAATAAATCTAGTCATGATTGCCGAGCAAGTAATTCCTTGTATTATTGTTAGGGCTTTTGAGATGTGCAAAATAGTATTGTCTGGATGATACACGACGTGCTAGGTAAACTTATGGCAATAGATTCTATTATTGCTGACATTTGCAACGACTTAATAGGTCTTATAAAAACTGGTGCAGGAAATTTTGAGTTTTTGTTGTTCAGAAAGGTATGCCGAACTAGCATTTAAAATATAACCGACGTAAACTTAACTTTTGGTAAGGTAAGATCACACATAAGCTAGGTGGACTGACGACATCCGCAGGGTGGCTGGCAGTGGTTGGATGAGAAGAGCTGAACATCGAGCTCAGTGGCGTGCAATTAGGGAGGCCTATGTCCAGCAGTGGGCGACAACACAACGCAACAACATGATGATGATGAAGATCACACACTTCAAATCCACTTCCCTTTTTTGAAGAGTAGTTTATTATCAAATGGGATCTCTCGTCATCGTCATATTATTTTATTCCCTATTTATTCCTTATTAAGAACCACGCTGTTCATTCTTCTCCAAGCCGAAGCTGCGGTACATAATTGCGCTCACACGCACAACTTTGGTTTATTGTCCCCTGCGATATTAAACAACTTCACACAATCTTCCTATCCTACGTACTACGTATCCTACTACTACGTACTCTTAGTGTACCTACGTCTGCACAGACAGGCTTAGGCATTGTTTCTTTTAAGTACTAAGAAACTAGCTAGCTGATCCTACATACTCCCGACCAAAGATCTCTTAAAAAATGTGGTGAGACTAGATATTTTGGATGAGATTTGACTAAGATACCATTACGTAAAAGGGATTTATAGCCACGATTTGAGTTGAACGCTTCGGTAATTTTCGGTAAACTTCGGATTAACGAACGCACGTACTAAGGGTGACAAAAATGCATGGAGAGCTTAAGGTCGACTATTGACTGACAGGTTTTGCATAACGCTACCATTGATAACTAGATGGCGCTGCTTTTAAATGAAAATAACCCTGCAAAGCTTCAATACTTTACACTGCAGAGGCACACAATAAGGTTTTTAATGGTTAAAATAATAATTAAGAAACAATAATATATTTATATACAAATACACATAAATTATGTTAATTTTCACATTTCCAAGGACTTAATATAGCGCCATCTAAGTCAAGTCAAGCAAACCAATTAAAAGATGGCGTCAATAATTAATAATAGACAATAATAAAAGTTATAAACTAACCCGCATTTTCGATATCATTAAAAACGCAATCGGTAGCTCGGATAAATAAGAATGGTAGTATAATGAAGTCGAAGAGCACCGGTTCAATTCCGGGTTATCATTATAAAATTCAGGTTTTTAACAATGGTTTTTTTATATTTTTTATATAAAATCAATAATAATAATATATAAATAAAATATTTGACGTTTAATATTTATAAAAGATAACAAAAATAAATAAATATATTATTTTAGAATAAAATTATATTAATAAATATAATTTTATTTTATTAATAAATATATATTATTAATAAATATATATAATATATTTATTTTATTAATAAATATATATAAATAACTTTTATAATATGTGCTAACTATTAATGTAAAAGTAACATATTTTTCTTACAGATTAAGACTAATACTAAGTTTAATTCTCATAAAGGATAACAAATAAAACTATTTTAGTGACATTATAATTTCAGACATTTATTTCTTAAAACATAATATTTATTTCTTTCTTATATAGTGTATACCCTGACCTAATAACTTTTCAGCTAACTGACACATTATTTATTACACTTTTTATAAGATTAATAAGTATTTTAAATCAAAATTGTGTTGTGCTAGTCATTTATTAGTTAGTTTTAAACACAATGTTATAATACGATTCTATATAATATGCAACCTTACTTCTGCAACTATTTTACCTCCCCATAAAATTTAATTAAAGTATTGACTAAAGTGATTCATTTTGTGCATCATGTTATGACAAAGGCTCATAGCTTAAGTATTCGTTCCAGAACAAGGAAGAAATTGAAGCTAGACCTTAAATCAATAACATTTCTAAGACCGGGATATAGCATTCACTAGATATGGGACGAATTGTTCATTGTAATTAATAAATAAATAATTTATTATTTTGCAATCAATAGCATCTGTAAATATTAATATTGCTTTTATTTTTATTTCTCATATTTAGTAAAACATTAAAATCATTACTGTATAACAGTCGCTGGTTATAAAGTAGTCAATAAATTTATCCTACTAACACTAAGTTTGAACATTTATCCATTAAATAAATTATAGCTACCCCGGTCTTGTAATTGCTTAATCCTATAGTCAACAATGTCTTTTCTTTTAAGAACTAGTGTAGCCGCCATTTTTATCGATCCTATTTCTCCTATCTCGCTGGCCAAGGAATAATCCGTATGTCTGATTGCTGACTAAACACTTGCACAATTATGGAACATTACACATAGGACAATTGTCCTGCACGAACGTTATCACTAGCACATCTTCATGACGTCTTTCAGCACATCTATGTAGTTTTCACTGTTTGCATCACTGAAGATGACAATGCTCCAGTAATTTTCCTTATAACCTTGCCCCATAAGTTGAAACTGGTCTGAGTCAATATCACGTCTTCTGCCAGATCCACTACGGTGCTCCAATGAACCCTCTTCTTGAAACAGCTTTAGATATCCATAAAGTGGCAGTCTTTACCTGTAAGGGACGTGTATTATTTATTATTTTCATGTATCGATAACCATGGATAATAAAATAAATAACAAACGGTAATTTATAAGAATACTTACGTTTAAGCCAGTTTCTCTAGAAATTCCAGTATAATTTAAGCTTTGATTATGCAATGCTATTATTTAGGCCCTCGTAGCCATATTAACATTTGAACGCAAATTCATAATAAAAATAAATATTAAAAACTTGTTAAACAAATCGTGACTGAACTCACTCAAAGATAGTAAAGAATGTTATGATTGAACAAAAAGGTTTAATTTTTATACAGTTAATTTTAAATTACCCTCAACTGTTTTGAGATTTATGATCGGGTTATAGTTGCTAAACAACTTCAATATAATAAAGAGTAGGATAATTTCAATACATTTCAAGGTTACGTAATGGCCTAATGGCTAGTGGCATCGGTTAATTTTATGCTACCGAGTTCGAATCCTGGTTATTGCGTGCTTTGCTTTAAAAAGGTTTGGAATATCGTAGCATTAATTTGTATAAAAATTTATTGTTAATAACTTTGTATCTGATAAAAACTATAAATGTATATTTTTCAATACCACTAGTATACTAGCGCCATCTATGTCGTCCATGGTATATAATTAAGGCGATGAAACGCCGTACAAACGATTTTGATTTAGAATCATCCATGCACTTATGACACTGATAGTACCTACATACATCTATTATGTTCCTGTAGCGTAGGGAAGTAGAAATACTGTTACCAACGTACCTATAGCTTTATTCTTCGTATGCAGAGGAACATCTCTGTAATATATTTCGAGGTATTTTATTACTCTTGCGAAGCTAGGTAGATCTTTTCTCGTACAATAAGTAAAATACGAGAATTGCCTTACAATGAGTGTAGGGGAAAGTTAGGATTCCTAAGTGTTGTTGAATATATTTTTAGGATTGAATTGTAGAAATGGGTGTCTTCTTACATGACTGCATACGAATTTATTAAAAAATAGATCTTTACTTATATTTTTACGATTCATTTTCAATGTTCAAATGGTAACTACTTAATTAGGTACCCTTTTTTTTGAGAAGATTGTCCAATGTTTTCCGCTCTGGGCGAGAGGGACTGCCAGATTGTTATTGGCTAAACTAACCCATTTCGTCCTTTGCTCCGAGCTGGCGAACGTTATGACATACATTACTGCGCTTTGTCTGCAGCTCTGGCTTAGGTTTATGTATAACCCTTCGAGAGAAAAATTGTTGCCTTTCTTATTTCATCATAGTTCGGCAAACGAGCTAACAATAGCTGATGTGAAGAAATCAGTGCCGCCCATGGACATCCACAACAACGGAGGAGTTACGACTGCGTTGCCGACCTTTAGGGAATTACGTATTCTGGGATTGAGGAGGGATTAGGGGAGGGGAAGGATAAAAAGGCCTCCAGTAATATCACCCACACGGCGAAACACAACGCTGTGGTTGTTTCACACAGGTTTTCTGTTAGGCCGCCGACCCACTGCGGTCAAGCCGACCCATTCGTGCCGAAGCATGGCTCTCCCACACTTAAACCATCATATTAAGTTTTACGACCAGACAAACAAAAAATGTTGAGTCATTTTAGCGATGCATCTGTTAGTACTTAAAGCTTAGTTCATTGCACCTAGGTATCTTATTCAATGCTTAGGTAGGTACTAGAGATAAATACTAAAGCCTAATATGAAAATAATGATAACATTCCAAGTTTAAAATGGTTGACATGAGGTCATTCACCTATAATTATAATGTGGTAGTAGTTTCAGTTTAGTCTGCCAGACATCCTAAAATTGTTCTAGAATAAAAATTTGAATTACAAAAACAAAATTTGAAAATTAAGAAAGGAACATGTTCATGTATTTTTAAAACGTTTCTTTTAGTTCTTTACTTACGTTGTTTAATAAGTTAGCGTTAATATGTTAAAGTTTTAATTAAATTTAAAAAAAGTTTTAATTAAACTTTGACGTTACATATTTTACAAATTGCGAAACAAAAAATGTGTTCTTTTTGTACCTACTAGGTAAGGACTCCTACTTTGATTAAAACTAAAAAAACAACACCAAGCTAAGAGATTCTTACATAGATATAATTTCGCACATACAAATTCACACACACATTACGCCCAGTCACGAAACTTCAATTTGTGGATCGTACACATAATACGGTAGTTTCCAGCTAGTCAAATTCAATACTTTTTTTTGCGACAAATTGATCACTTATTACTTACAAATTTGCATAAAAATATTAAAAAAAAATTGTGTATCGACAGATCCATTATTTTTCAATATTTTATATTGCATTGAAACGTAGAATTAATTTATTTTTGACTTAGGAACCTAGGACCAACATACGGGTAGTTTCCGCAATCAAAAATAAATTACACTTCCAAATTACTTTTAAATGGTGGCGTGAGAAATTAAAAATGGCGACTTTCGTTTCTCTTTTCGGTTCGTCCCGCGCCCACACTGCTGACACCGGCCTAACAGCGACAGCTGCTCCTCGATTCAAGACGCACTTAAAGTTAGTCATATTTTCCTGTAGGTTTAGTATTCGTTTACCATGGACTTCTCCAAAGTGTAGCCTTTTTTTTGTGAGGGGAAAACCATCAAATGACTTCTCCTGCCCAGTGTCGGGCGGGAGGGAGTGTCAGACTCTTACTGACTAAAAACCCCCCTGTTCCTTCTCCTGCACTGGGCCGAGGTCACGGTCAGCCCTATGGGGCCCCGTCTGGCCAAAGTGTAGCCTGATTCCTTACTGTATAAAATCTAGTCCAAGTATTAAAAGACTAACTTAAAACTAGATATTGATTCCTGGTAGGTGAAGTGACAGTTGGGTATGGATTTTTGCTCGCAATCTAGTCGGTAGAAGTATAAAACAATTAAAGAAAGTAAAATAACAGAAGGGCAAGGTGACGACACTTGATTTGATTAACGGGCCCACTCAAGGGATCAATTTTCTTAGGTCGCCGGAACATTGTCCAACTTTGACGTCACTTAGTCAACATTTACAGTCTTTCTCTTTATTTAGGTCAGTTTATGGGGTGACCTTTTAGTTTTTTTGCCCTTCCCTAAAAGATTAGTTTTCATTGACCAAAACAAACATAACGATCGTACGGCAAGAGGCTTTCAGGCCTCAACTCATACATACTCATATACCGTGTCAGCTTCACTACTGAATCACATACTTATACTTATCTATACTAATATAATAAAGAGATAAAATTTGCAAGCTTGTAAGTTTGTATGTTTGTTTGTAAGTTTGTATGTAGGGGGTAATCTTTGGAACCGCTGGTCGGATTGCCAAAATTCTTTCACTGATAGATAGCTACAATGTTCCTGAGTGAGGTTATAAAGCATCACGCTACGATCAAATGGAACTGTGCAGTGGGTGAAACCGCATGAGAGTAGCTAGTTCTACATAAGAGGGGATTGCCATTATAACCACTCCTTGCTTGGGTTTGTGTCTAACACCATCACAATCGATCTCGGGTTGAAGGATTTCTTCAGGCAAAGCGTTAGTGTCTCACTTAGAGCACACAGGGAAACAACTATTAGCTCATGTTACAGAGATCAGAATATTTTATAGGAGACCCAATCTCTAACTCCAAATCCACCAATCGTCAAGTCCCTGACCCTAAAGCCGGCAATGAACTTGCAACTGATCTGGTGTTTCGGATGACCTTGGGAGGCGCTGATTGCTTACCATCAAAGGATAAGGTTGCTCGCTTGCCAGCCTTTCCTAGAAAAGATGAGAAATGGGAGACAATCTTCAGTACCTAATGTGACATTTGATCATCTGATATTTGAACACCATGAAATATAAAAAATCTGTAGAGATTATGCTCTGTACGTAATATTTATTGTTTAAAGCGACCCGTCCCGACTTCGGCACCAGTGCGATGCTGACTTTAAATTTCCCCATAGTTTAATAGATGTTTATTATACACAAAAACTCTCCTCTGCAATTAGTCTAACTATAAAATACCGTATTAAAATTAGTTGCGTGCTTTTAAAGATTTAACTGGATATAGGGACAGAGAAAGCGATTTACTTTAATGCTCTGTAGTGGAGCGAGAGAATGTGTCCGACTCTTACTGACTAAATACCTTCTGCTGCAAACAGTCTGCTTGTGACCACGACCTGTGCAACCGGGTCGAAATGTCAAGCCTAACGTTAATATCCGCGTAAATAAATATATGTTGTTAATATGAAACGCGAAAGTTTAAGTTAGTACCCCACCGTTCCTTCTCCTGCTCTAGGCCGAGGCCGCTGTGCCTTATTGTGCTCGACCCGCAACTCTGGCTCAAAAGCATAATACCTACTACGAATATGTAGTGATGTGGCCTGGTTAGAATAAAGAAGTAGTCAGTCAGTAGGCTGCGCGACGTCGCCGCGTCCGCGCACGCTGCTCATGAGGAAGAACCCCTCTGTGGTTCGAAACTAGTAGAGCGTTTCTCAACATTTACACGTGAGTAACCCGCGAATTTTAGTTAATTTAGTATGTCTCACGATAGTTATTATAAAAACAAAGAAGTTTTCTTTCATTTTAAAGTTCATATTGAATTCATTGAAATTGATTGTTTACGTGTACAATTTAAAAAAGGTCGCATTAAAACAAAACAGTAATAAAAGTTTATACAGTTGAAATTGAATGAAAGTTTTTATTAACAGAAACGTGTCGAGTTGAAAAATATCTAGGTACTAATGAAAAAGTTTTCTCGTGACTAGCTAATTTGAAAAATCACTTTTAATTTAGCGTTTACTTTTAGGTGTAGGTAATATATTCTCGCTATAGGTAGTACCTACCTAAATTAATAAATTAAGGCTATTCGTAAATATCAAATGTTCAGTTACTTAGTGTATTTAATTTAGTTTTTTCTTACAGTGGTCTCCAAAAGGTCTGGCTTCGGACTGAATTATAAAACGAGTGGGAAAAACCAGTTTTTTAACGAATAGGGCCTTTTTTGGGTACGCATTTGCGTTTGACTGCACGGTTGACGCGGTTTCTGGTCAACCAGCTGCTGTGTATTGTGTCGCGGGTTCGATTCCCGCACGGAACACTTTTTGTGTGATTCACAAATTATTGGACCGGCTCTGGATGTGATATGTATGTGAAACTGTATCTGTGTAACCTCGGCACAGGACAAAATCTTAGAGTAGGGGAGAGGGGGCACTGTTTTTGACAACATATTAAACAAAAGAATCAAATAATTATTAATTTAAAATCGTACGAATACCAGTCTAATTAGTTACGTCACAAAGTTGTTAGAACGCGAACAACTTACGACCAAGATGATACCAGTCTCCCGAGGGCAGGAAACTTCTTAATCCTCCTTAATATTCACATGTACAACTTTAAGCGAAACATTTATTAGTCTTGGAATTTTCCAGAAGTAAGGTCCCATGTTATTTGACGCCTCATTAATGTTAAGTACAATGTAAACGAGGTTGATTTATGCAAATTTAATAAACAGGTACGGCGTACTGCGCTAAAGAAACTTCTGCTAAAGGATTTCATGGAAGAGGATTGTGAACTGAGGAATATTGGACTCGCCTACGCTCCTTCGGATCCTTGAAACCGTAACCAAGACTTATACGAAGAAACGAATAAAGTTTTCGAATCGTGAAATGTTTTTATTACTTTAGAACTATGTTGTAAAATTGACAGGGATGTTATTTCTGAATGTTTTTGCGTTCATTGATGGGTGTAATGGAATTTGTTTTCAGCTGTGTGTGGCGCTGATTGCCTACCACCACATAGGTGCATTGCTGATACTAAATTTCCCCACAATTTAATAGATGTTTATTTAGAAGCGAGAGGATGTGTCAGACTCTTACTGACTAAAAACCTTCTGCTGCAAACAGTCTGTTTGTGACCACGACCTGTGCAACCGGGTCGAAACGTCAAGCCTACCTAGGTATTCAAATAATAATTTTCCGCGTAAATAATTATATGTTTTTTTTATTGAATAGGTCGGCAAACGAGCAGACGTATTACCTGATGGTAAGTAATCAGCGCCGCCCATGGACACCCATAACGGAGGAGTAACGAGTGCGTTGCCGACCTTTTAGGGATTAGGGTTTTGGAGATTTAGGGATTGGGAGGGATCGGGGAAGGGGAAGGATTGGGTCTCCGGTAACCTCACTCACACGGCGAAACACAACGCTGTGGTTGTTTCACGTCGGTATGCTGTAAGGCCGTGGTATCACTCCGGTTGAGCCGACCCATTCGTGCCGAAGCTTGGCTCTCCCACACTTTCTTAGCTCTCCTACACTTTCTTAGCTCTCCCACACTTTCTTAGCTCTCCCACACTTTCTTAGCTCTCCCACACTTTCTTAGCTCTCCCACACTTTTTTAGCTCTCCCACACTTTCTTAGCTCTCCCACACTTTCTTAGCTCTCCCACACTTTCTTAGCTCTCCCACACTTTCTTAGCTCTCCCACACTTTCTTAGCTCTCCCACACTTGTTAATATGAAACGCGAAAGTTTAAGTTAGTACCCCACCATTCCTTCTCCTGCTCTAGGCCGAGGCCGCTGTGCCTCATTGCGCTTGACCCACAACTCCGGCTCAAAAGCATAATACCTACTACTACTATGTAGTGATATAGCTTGGTGAGATGCAAGAAGTTCTCTGTCATTTTCAAGTTCATATTGAATTCATTGAAATTGATTGTTTACGTGAACGATTTAAAAAAGATCGCATTAAAACAAAACAGTAATAAAAGTTTATACAGTTGAAATTGAATGAAAGTTTTTATTAACAGAAACGTGTCGAGTTGAAAAATATGTAGGTACTAATGAAAAAGTTTTCTCGTGACTAGCTAATTTGAAAAATCACTTTTAATTTAGCGTTTAGGTACTTTTAGGTGTAGGTAATATATTCTCGCTTTAGGTAGTACCTAAATTAATAAATTAAGGCTGTTCGTAAACATCAAATGTTCAGTTAGTGTATTTAATTTAGTTTTTTATACAATGGTCTCTTAAAGGTCTGGCTTTGGACTGAATTATAAAACGAGTGGAAAAAAACTATTTTTTTTATGAATAGGGCCTTTTTATGGGTGCGCCTTTTTGCTCTTTTTAATTTAGTTTCTCGTTTGACTGCACGGTTTTTTTTGTGAGGGTAAAATCATCAAATGACTTCTCCCGCCCAGAGAGAGGGAGGGAGTGTTAGACTCTTACTGACTAAAAAACCCCGTTCCTTCTCCTGCTCTGTGCCGAGGTCGCGGTGCCTCATTGCGCTTACCCCGCAACCCCGGCTGAACATCAGCTCTATAGGGCCCCGACTGTGGTGGTGTATTGGCTCTTTGAGGCGCGCGGGGAACGCTACGCGCCGTATGCTTAGTACACAGTGCTTAGCACATAGTAACTATTCAGTAATCTGTGCTCGGGTCTGGTTCTGTCGGGCGGCGAGTTTGACTCCAAGATTGACGCGGTCTTTATACTATGATGCGGTTTCTGGTCAACCAGCTGCTGTGTATTGTGTCGCGGGCTCGATTCCCGCACGGAACACTTTGTGTGTGATTCACAAATTATTGTACCGGCTCTGGGTGTGATATGTATGTAAAACTGTATGTTTGTACCCACGACACTGGACAAAATCCTAGAGTAGGGGAGAGAGGGCAACAAAGAAATAAGTATCATTTAAAATCTTACGAATACCAGTCTAATTAGTTACGTCACAAAATTGTTAGAACGCGAACAACTTACGACCAAGATGATAGCAGTCTCCCGAGGGCAGGAAACTTCTTAATCCTCCTTAATATTCACATGTACAACTTTAAGCGAAACATTTATTAGTCTTGGAATTTTCCAGAAGTTAAGTCCCATGTTATTTGACGCCTCATTAATGTTAAGTACAATGTAAACGAGGTTGATTTATGCAAATTTAATAAACAGGTACGGCGTACTGCGCTAAAGAAACTTCTGCTAAAGGATTTCATGGAAGAGGATTGTGAACTGAGGAATATTGGACTCGCCTACGCTCCTTCGGATCCTTGAAACCGTAACCAAGACTTATACGAAGAAACGAATAAAGTTTTCGAATCGTGAAATGTTTTTATTACTTTAGAACTATGTTGTGAAATTGACAGGGATGATATTTCTGAATGTTTTCGCATTCATTGATGGGTGTAATGGAATTTGTTTTCAGCTGTGTGGTTGGGGATTTTTTATAAGGATGCAATTTTATGAAATTATTCTTCACACCTCGTTTTGGAGGAGGCGGTAAGGTGAACTTCATATGTGCTCCCTCAAAATTAACAATTATTGTATGGTTATCCATTAATGCTTAACAGTTTTTTTCGTGACTGGAATATCATTATTATATCAACGTCTCCTAGGTTGGGGAGGGGTATCAGACTTTTCCTGACTAACCCTCCCCCCCGTTCCTTCTTCTAATCTAGGCCAAGGCCGCGGTGCCTCATTGCCCTTGCCCCGTAACCCCGGCTGAACATCAGCCCTATAGGGCCCCGTCTATGGTGGTCTATTGGCTCTTTGAAGCGCGCGCGGAATGCAGATTTAATTATTTTCCACGAGAAAACGCGAAAGACGACATTTGATGACTTTCCCCGCACACAAAAAGTTTCGCTTTTAGGACGGAAATCATCTAATGATGAAATCAAGGCGAAGCTTAATGTTAACGATTTTCTTAAATCTAAAAGAGACCTATATAGTATAGCTTGTTATGTATCTATTTAGTGAAGATTGTTCCAGATATTATTATCAAAACGGTGTCCAAAACCCAATGGTTGCAAAACAATTCAAGGAAATTAATGCAAAGGAGATTAAGTGCCATGTGTCTTGGAGTTCATTGGAGTGGTAATGAAACTCGAAACTTTACTATCTAAATACGTGTAGAGAAAAGAGGGTGCTTGGTAGCGTTAAACATATACTACATATTTATAATGTTACCAAGTGATAATGAAACGATGGATTTATTAAATTAGTGTCGATATCACACCGCACATAGTTGAATTCTCAACAATCCAGAACTATGGTTGCAAAATAACTTGATTGTTAAAAAGTGTTAAAAGAATCATCCCCATTATATGTATAGCTGGTTGGCAGTCAACAAATGTGCGATTAACGCAAAGCTTTTTGCCCTGCACAGCTTAACTTTGAATAATCTTTAGGCGGCGGTATTTCCGAACCCAAACGACCTTCAAACTTTCGAGAAATGTGATTAAAAACTTCTTTGGCCGGCAACGCGCTTGTGTTTCCTCTGGTGGCGGCGCTGATCACTAACCATCAGGCGATGCGTGTCCTCTTTTCGCATGGTGAATAGAAAACAGGACTACTCATTAAAGAAGGTATCTCAAAAGCGAACCTTATTATTGAAACATAAATTTAAGATTCAAATATCTCCTTTTTTGAGTTAGGCCTCTTTTCTATTATGCATACGGTTTGCTCTTTTCTTTCTTCCATTTTGAAAAGTCTACATAGGTACTTATGACACCCGTGACACCCACACCACCTACATTATTCAGACCTGTCATGACAGTCCAAAGGCTTCCGCGAGCTAGCTTCAGTAAGGCAATAGCGAGACAGTTTTTGGAAATGTATAAAACCAGTTGATACTTTTTAGCTTAACTTACAATTTAGTGAACGTTTACCATTTAATTTGAAGGTTTAATTTAATAATGGTAGGTATATTTTTTAATCTGTCAACACAATGTCATTTCGTTCTCGCTATCACCAGAACATCACACTCGTTCCAAAATCCTCTCAAATCTCCCGCCATTTTTGCCGGGTGACGTTCTCGAACGATTTAAAATCCGACATTTTAAATTCCGATTCATTCTTTTTTAACCGACTTCAAAAAAAGGAGGAGGTTCTCAATTCGATTGTATTTTTTTTTTTTTTTTTATTTTTTTTTTATGTTTGTTACCTCAGAACTCCGTCGTTTATGGACGGATTTGCAAATTTTTTTTTATGATTGAAAGGATATGCTTCCAGATTGGTCCCATTCTTTTCAAAATCGAGTTTTGATGATGGGATCCATGAGAAATCGAGGGAACTCCTCAAATATTATAGGTAACTATATAGTAATTTTAATATTTTCATAGAGCACTCAAGCATTTACAGTCAAAAAGTAATATTTGATGAGGTGGAACTGGTGAAGAAAATCAGAAATGGGTGATGAAACTTGACACTCGCATAGATATCACAATCAATGTAGTTAAGCAACTATGAAAATGCGCTATAAACCAATGATCTTAAATAATTATTGTGACAGAAAACTCTTTGACATCATGACGTCAATGGATGGTTGTCAAACGTTGCCTAGAGATTGTAAATTTCGTCGTGAATTGTCAACACGAGTTGGTGTAATCGGTAAGGCGTGTGGATTACACCACAGAGACCCCGAGTTCGAGACCCGCCGTAAACATGAAGTTTTTTAGTTGATGGAAGTTTTGTCGAACTTTCTGGAATATTTGAGTGAAAGTAATGAAAAATTAAGGAGCGAGAAGGAGAATAAATAAAAATGAATAACGAAATTATTGGAAGGTTCTGGAGGCATGACGATCAAAAAGAATAACGAAATTGAATGTTCTAGAACCTGACCAGGGGTATATAAGCGGAACTGCGGCTCACCGCTGGCAGTTGAGTTCTAAGTCCAAAGCGATTCGGAAGAAAAGGAAGAAGTGAAAAGAAGAAAAGTGAGTGAAATAGTGAAGTACAGTGAAATAGTGAAGTGCAGTCAGTTAAGTGAGTTAAGTCAGCGTGAACAGTGAACGGCAAAGTTGTGTCAGTCGGCCGGACTCTGCTGGAGAGGAACGCCGATAACTTATCCGTATCCGTGGACGCTGTCACTTAAGTGCAATAGAAAGTCTGAAAACCGGTATTAGTGTTTAATTTCATCCAATCCCGTAACCCAAGCCCGCATAGTTAGGAACGTGACGTCAGGCACGTAACATTTGGTGTCAGAAGTGGGATTGGAGAAAAATGCCGCTAGTGCCGCAGGACGTAAGAGGAGTGAGTACCCGTGCTATGTCAGAAGCGCAGCGTGTGAGAGAAGAGGGTGCTGCAGCTCAAACCAGCGATGCAGAAGCCAAGCCTGTGCAGGTGGATCTTCTGCTACAGCTGCAGCAAATGATGGCAGAACAGCTGCGGGAGCTGAAAGAAGATCAAGCGCGCCGCCAAGAAGAGCAAGCACGCTGTCAGGCAGAACAGCTGCGGGAGCTGAAAGAAGATCAAGCGCGCCGCCAAGAAGAGCAAGCGCGCCGCCAAGAAGAGCAAGCGCGCCGCCAAGAAGAGCAAGCACGCTGTCAGTCAGGACAGCTGCGGGAGCTGAAAGAAGATCAAGCTCGTCGCCAAGAGGAGCAAGTGCGTCGCTTGGAAGACATGCATAAAGATTTCACGAAGGGACTGCAAAAGGCTGTCAAACGGGTACAAGAAGTGGAGGAAGGTTTAGGCAAGTTGGAACATCGCGTCATGGCGATAGAGGAGAGATTGGAAGAAGAGATCTCCAAAATCAAGCAGGAAGTGACAAACCCAAGCCCTTTAAAGAGCCGAAGCCGTCTTGCAGCCGTTTTTGACGCCCCAAATGCGGCCTTAAGCGCAACGAAAGGGCTCAAGATTCCCCATTACGACGGAACAACATCCTGGACCGCGTTCAAGCTACAGTTTGAGACACTTATGGAGGCTTATGGTTGGACTCAGAAGGAAGCACAGTCAGCCCTCACCCTGGCCCTCCGTGATCAAGCGCTCTCAGTGCTGGAAGCTATCGGCGCAAGTGGAGATCTCAGCTTTAGTGCCCTTCTCGACGCACTTGAGGCACGTTTTGGAGACAGCCACCTCGAGCACGTGTACAGAGCGCAATTAAAAGAGCGTACTCAGCGTGATAATGAGAGTCTACAGCAATGGTCCGTGGAAATCGAGAAACTTGTGCGTCGAGCTTTCCGGTCGACTCCGTCAATGATTGAAGGCACGCTTCTCCAAGCGTTCATTGACGGTATTCGGGACCCCGAAGTACGAGCTGCTGTTCATCTGGGCCATAACAAGAACATGAAAGAAGCTCTGGCCCATGCATTGGAAGTGGAAGCCGTGCGTGGCAACTCCCGTACCTTACGTCTGCGGGAAATGACGACAACGGAGCAGGTACCTCCACGCCGTCGGAACTTCATGTGCTATGGATGTGGAGAGCGTGGGCACATACGGAGCGACTGCCCGAAGAAGATGAACCGCAAGGACGCGGCGGTCTCAACTTCTGACCAGCAGGGAAACTTAAATCCAGCCAAGGCTGCGGGGTGGGCGCTGGCTGGTAGTGGAATAACCCCAACAATCTACATCAAGCAAACTAACGATGGAAATACCCTGGTGATAGACGGTCAAATAAATGGGAAAAACAGTCAGCTAACATTAGATACTGGAGCTTCAAGGACGGTGATAAATGTTCGGCTGCTCGAGCAAAACATCAGGAAACACCTTAAACCAATTGTTGGCCTACAAATGAAATCAGCTACCGGCCAGTGCATACCGATAAGTGGAAAACTGCATGTAACAATCAAAATTGGGGAACGTGTTTATCGACATGAGGTTATTGTGGCCAGAATTCTGGATGACTGCATCCTGGGACTTGACTTCCTGCAAGGGCACCAGTGTAACATCGACTTAAAATCTGGAGTATTACTATGTGGAACTGAGGAAATTCCGATGAAGGGTGGAACCCTGGGAAAAGTTTGCTGTTTAAGAAGAACTGTTCTTGCACCAAAATCACAGACTCTCGTACCAATCGCATTACCTAGGAGGAGGGAAGGAAGTTTACCTCGAAGGTGCGCTGTGATTGATAAATCGGAACACGTGAATTCATGGCTACCGGCAAGAACTGTCGTGGGGTCATCTGATGTTAACCGCATTCCGGTATTCAACTTCAGTGATTCAGAAATTACGATTGAAGAAGGAGAGCCTGTGGGCGTATTGGAAGAAGTGGCCTGGATAAGAAAATGCTCGGAAAATCTTGTGAAGAAGGACAGTACGGGAATAGACTTTGTAACGAA